TTATTATTTCCTTTTGAATTTCAAATGGTAATAAAGTTGATGGATCCGGAGGGAGAATTAAACGAGCGATTGGGGGGTGAGGATTATCTAAAACAAATGAAATGATTAAAAACAGAAAGTAAACTTAAAATAAACTAATATCTCCTTTCCAACTTGCAAATAAACTAAATCTTCAAATGTCAATCTAATCATGCAAATTAAACAATATATACTGCATAATATGTTACTAACAAGATATTCTTACCCCCTTGAATAGATTTAGATTTAAGCAATTCTACTGTGTTCAGGAAAACATAATGATCTTTAGAAGGCACTTTAAATCGGCGTAACTTTTCTATATCGATCTTAATTAAAGCTTTGCCGTCTACATTATTTTCTACAGAAAATAAGTGTGCAAATCAATGCAAAAAAGTATAAAATTCTTTTAATGTGATCATGTGTAATTAAAAAAATATAGTCGCGTTGTACTTAAGAGCTCATTAACGCGTATTCTCTAACAGTGCGCGTCCATACATACCTTCAAATAACTCTATTAGTCTTTCAAAGTTTTCTTTTCGAAGCCAATCGCAAACCTCCTTTACAGACCATATTTCTGGATTCATGATTTGAAAAATGTCGAATTTCTTAGTTCAATGACGTAATTAAATTTTGAATTGTTGCACAGAAAATGAATCTTTTTAATGGCAAACGCACAAGAAAGTTTTTTTTATACCTGATTAAAAAAAATTCTACTTATGTACGCACCTAGACCTTTATTTATTTAATCTTGCGCTTTGAACCAGCACACTACGGATCCGGCTTCATGCTCGGCAGTCACATGACAGACTAAATTCTAAACATGGTTGGCTATTGCTATTATATCGCGTATAACGTAGATATTGCTATGCATTGCAGCACAGCATTCATTATCTTGGATCAGCAAATATCACGTATCATGTGGTATAGCAAATCACCGTTCCTGATATATGATCAGAAATTTCAACCACCGAGACTTAACAGAAAATGGATGAATTATTTGGCTTGCGTAATCTCTTTTATACAGGTAATGCACAACTCTAAGATTTATATTTATACATGATACAATGAAATAATATAAAATAACACCTTTTTTTACAACTTATATTCAGGTTCCTTTCAGCAGGTGATAAATGAGGGTAGTAGTCGCACATCTGTTTCAGATAGCGCAAAGTTGGAGCGCAAGATATATCTGTATCGTGCCTACGTAGCTCAAGGCAAGCATAATATTGTTATTACAGAAATAAAGGATTCTGATCCGATAGACTTGCGCGTAGTTAAGATTTTGGCTGTATACTTACAGTCTAAAAGTGGTAGTCAGGCTTCCGAAACAAAAAAAGAGGAGACTCTTAAGGAACTTAAAGAGATACTGAGTGATGCTGCAAATGTATCAAATTCAACAGTTCAAGTCATTGCTGGTATGATTTATTATCATGAAGGTTTATTTGAGGATGCA